GCGTAACAAAGAGGGGGCTCCAATAATGTCATGTTAATCGTTCCAATTCATACTTTGAGCGGGATAAAAAAAGAACGTGAGTAAGTAACGAAGTTGTTTTTCAGGTCTAATAAATGACTCTAAAATGATTTTACTTGCGTATTGTGGTTTGTTGTAAAAGTGTCTCATGTCTTAATAGCAGCGCAAATGAAGAAGTACAATCCAGTCAGTTGAATAAACATTCAATTTCAAGTTGTTCATTATTTCCTTTCAACACGGTATTGAYTAGACTGAAGACATAGTTTGCTCGACACATCCTGGACACCCAATGATAATTCATCCCATTGCATTTTCGAGAAATTCGTGTTCMCCTATTTCCGGGCATATTCCGACACTTCCTCCCTAAGTAAAAACGAGTACTTACAGTCAGTCTCTGCTGCAAGAAAGGGGCTTCGACTTGAGCTTCGAGGAGTAACCTGCACATATTTTGCAGTTCAGTACCCGTGAGATACAGGATACGACTCTAATGTATTTGATATACTTGTATACTCGTTTCATTAAATAACTCAAAAAGACGTAACAATGCAAGTGATTTACTCAGCGAGGACAAGAAAACGAGCCAAATATTAATAGCAGGATTTAAAACCATTTTTAAGTGGTTAAAACGATGATAATTATGGGAATATCCGATTATAATAAAAGCAAAGGAATAAACTGTAATGAGAAAACATTTTGTTGTGATGTTCTGGTTAATAGAGTCAGGATAGAATTGAAAAGCATCTTAATTCAAGCAACTGTGTGTGGAAGAACAAGAAAGACAATGCAGGTGAACTCAGAGAAATCATCTGTCGCTCGTTTCTCACTCCCTGAGAAAATATCCCAAACGAAAAAAACTACAGCATTCAAAGCAAATGTTATAAATGATTTTATTAACATCAAATAATGCATCTAGGSCGGCGGGTATATAATGGTTTTCCATGGCTATCATTTTAATGTGCAATGGTGAGTAAAGACGTGCTATTTTAATAATTCAAATGACAACATGGATTTATTAAATTCATGCAACCCATTGGTTTCACGTCTGCTTGTACAACTTCTATTGATGTCATTTTGAGGTAATGKAGCTAAATCTCTGTCTTTGAAAGTTTGGGATTCCTTGGGAACAAAGAATCMYGGAAAAGAATGTTTTACACTGCTAMACCAAATCCAAGTTTGAAGGCTATTTCTACCATATCCTGTGGTATTTTACTGTGATAACAAACGTAAAATTCTTTTGGCTGATCTCCTGGGAAAAGGCGCCTGGAAGTAAATAGAAATTCCTTTGAGTCTGTGTGTGGACCGTTGTTTAGTGGTAAATATGGATAAAGAACATTCAAACGTTGTACATCACATGTGTCGAAGCCGGTTTAGGCAACAGCACATTTTCAATGGATTTGGCACATGTGGAAATGCTACATTTGAACTCGACCWTTCTTACCCTATAACCCAATATTTTAACGCTGGTACAGCTTTCTTCTGTTCTGATCCAGTGTCTGGAACTCGCTGGAACTGTACACCATGTTCAATGACGGCATCGAGATTATGATTAGCAAAATAAGACTTGCCTCTGTTTTTATTGCTCGAAGATTTTAATCTCTGAAAAGGTAACATGGTTAATGATAATCAAATATGGCTGATACCACACCCTACTATATAAAGCCCTCAAGGGACTTACAGCTTTTTAATAAATCTGCACCAGCCATACATGATTATGACTTTGAATTAAAGTCGAAATATTGTATTTCGTACTTTAAGACTCGTTACTCGATCCAAAACTTTTTCTCAACGATGTTTTCCTGCCTCGGACTTATAATCAATGTCAATGTACCTTAAATTGTCGGATCGACATGGATTGTACTATATAAAATATGAGTACTTTGGCATAAATACTGTACTAAATTCAATGGCTTTAATCGAAATGAATGGAAGGACGAAATGATAGCGTAAAATGAAAGCAAGAAATCGAAAAAAATGAATGATAAATCAGTTTTCCAAATCATTTGCCCTGCYAGCTCACCTGTTTATAGAATGGAAGRAAGTTTCTACGGATAGTAAGACAGGTGTTGTAGAAAGTCTGGATGACTTCAGTATGTACACTACCATATCGAGGTATAGTCTCACTGGATGTAGGACACATTAATACTCCAGTAAATGCATCAAATGATACAAAGTTAAACAAGGTATTCTCCTTTCCTGCCGTCAGTCTACAGAATAAAAACAGCACACTTTCATATTTAGAATATACAAAACAACTACAAAACAAATAAACAGAGAGATAGTTAATTTTAATGGCTGTGGRACAACCCTTTGCGCACCAAAAAAGTCGTGTCCCACATCGATTTTCATTCCATTCATCTCCCACCTTGTGTTTTACGGAATTTTAGGAGAGTCACGGGCATAATTAATTTGGGAGTTCATCATTACTTGGAGGAGGTCGGAGATGCATACCAATGCATTTCAAATCTTTTTGACTTTTTTGAAAATTTCGCCCTTGAAGTACCTGGAGAAATGTGAATGAGCGATGTCGAAAGGACTTTCAGCAAAGCTTTTCCGCARGGTACCCACACAGTGTAGCGATGATAACGATCGATACGACCTCAATTTGCCTTTTGCAGAGAGACTACTGGCGCTACCGGAGCTGTCAGAACCTCTTCGTTTGAATGGTAAACTACCACTGTCTGATGAGTCCAGCTCATCACCTGACGAAAAAGAGTAAGGAAAATCAGTATCTTAAACCACTCGAAATGTAAGCTGCATACCTATTCTACCCACAAACGATGGAGCAAAATGTTATGTACTCTTCAACATATATGAAAGAAATGTTCATTCAACATACAAGAACATTTATGGACCATCAAGTAATCAACATGTATACCTGGTAGCTTTAGGCTGTCTAGACTWCCATATCTTCTTCCCTGTGGTGGAGTTGCAGGTGCAACCAGGCTAAGTGAGTTRCGATCAGCAACAGTGAGAACAGCAGATGACGAGAGAACGACATCTGCTGAGATAATTGGTGGATTTGGTGCGCTTCGGACACTGAAATAAACCGAAAAATTAGTATTGATTGTAATGCTGATGATGACAAAAAGGGTTCCACAACGAGTTGTCTTGACAACGACATTGATGATATCCACTTAAATTACCAGTATCTTAGCCGCAAGTTTTATAATGTTGCCGCTTTTAAAAAAACTGTTTAGGTTTTCTAGGATGACACTATAGGAATTAAATTAAATTAATTAATTAATTAATTTAATTTCAAATTAAATTTTAAATTAAATTTTAAATTAAATTTTAAATTAATTAATTTAATTAATTATTTTTTTTAATTTTTAATTAATTAATTTAATTTAATTTTTTTTATCTATAGGAATTTGTGAGGCAGGGATGGTTTTGTGGTTAAACGTTGTTCTGATAGAAACAGTATCAAGTGTACCTATGGCTTAAACCCTGTATTACGAAAACAATAATCAGCAGTATTTTATGACGACTGATGACATTGCAGTTGATGGTAATGATGATGATCACTGTTGATAAGTAATCATTATATACACTGATAATTGCAATAAAAACATACCTTGCTTCACAGACTGACGCTATGTCCAGTGTTTCTATCTGCAAAAGTGTATTTTTAAGCTGTTCCACATAGTATGAGTCAGGCTTGGGGTATCCCTCAGCTCTACACAGAAAAAAGGTTATGAAAGTGTATAACTTGCCATTATTTCCATTTTATGATAGCATAAGAAGTGTTTTACAGAGTTTGGTTTTTGTATGGGTGCAATTTTTGTGATTTTGATGTTTTGTTTTTCAATTCATTAATTGTACAAAAATCTAGTGATCRGTATCTAAATGCTGTTGTGCCTGAAAGATTATGAAACACAAAATAAAACCAGAGGTTGGAGCTGTCAATCAAGATAAAGATTGTCACAGGCATCAAAACCTACTTTCTGGCAGCCCCTCCAGYTTCTAGCAGGACACAGAGAAGCATATGTTTCTGCCCTACAATGAGAACAAAATGTCTTCCTCCAGGTTCCCTATATTCTGTCCTGTTGTCTCTTTTATGCCTTCTTGTAAGGAAAATCTAGGAAATACATAGATACACATCAATGACCACAGATATGATACACCATGTTTATCAATACCATAATATATTACAGTGCAGTTACAAACAGGGTCAACAATAAATAAATAATATTAATTACCTCTTTCCACACAACAAGTTGTCCTATTCTCTGTTTTTGTCCCACATCCAATAAACAATAATATTTACAATATAATAAAATATCTTGAAAATCCTCTGAAATTAAATGATTTGCTAACAGCATACCCTGAAAAAAAGCAAATTATATCAACTTTAATCATTACTTCTATCAGGTAGTTGCTGGAAACAGTATGTGTTTTTACCTTATAAAATATGCAAGATCCTAAAATTGTGTATAATCTTCTAATTTGAAATAATTCATCTACAAGTTCACCATAGTCTGCCGCCTCCAAGTCACTTAGGCAACAATTCACATTAACCTACAATATGTAAATAGGGTTATTTCATACTTTCTTTTCTTTGCTAACTAGTTTATACAGTGCAAATATAGTAATTTCATAATGTATACCATAGTAGTAGTTGGAAGATTCAGCCATTGTACTCCAGATAAACAGTCAAACAAGCAATTAGTGTTTCKTTCTTTCTTTGTCGACAAAAGACTTTCAAACAAMAGTGAGAAGAAATGATCTAGTCTTGACTTGTTTCCTCTTCCACAAAATGCYCTGAAAAAATRATAAATTAATTGGCAAACACTAGTGAGTGAATAGACTTAATCAGTGAAACAAGAGAACTCACATAAATACTAAATAGTGCTAATTAGACAACAGGAAAAAAAGAAAATCAAATAAATTGTGAATACATGTGTGATTAAACAGTTAATGTTAAGTTTAGTGTGTGTTTTTGAGTCTACCAAATTAGCAAAACAGTAAAAGAATAGCAGTTTTCCTTCCCCCACAAGAAAACTGGCTAATTATATTAAGTCACAAAGACATAAACGTTTACAGTAACTATGTCTTGTACCAAAAAACAAGAAAGCAATGATAGTGAATGTGGTTGAAGGAGCTACTTTTGCCATTCAGCTAATGACCAACTTAAACAAATATCAGAACAGGAAAAACAGGTTTTACCTTTCAACAGATCCAAATATGAGATTAAGTACTCTTGTGATATCAGACATAAGTTTGTGCAGATGTAGAAGTGACACTCTACGAAATCAAAATAATTTAAATACATGAGTACAGATCTCTTCAAATGTCCTAAAATTATTCAATGCCACGAGTGCTCTGAAAGCTGAATGTTGCAGATATTGGTTCACACCAATTACATTACAAAAGCAACTTACGATTGCCTAGAAAGGACAGCAAAAACACTGAATGAAGAAAACTTCATGATGTCCAGCCACAGCATGACAMCAAGTTCTCTGGTACACTCAAGTTAATTGTATAGGTTACTTACTTGTCTGAYGGCAAACAGACTATCATGACTTGCTGCTTGCCTGTCTTGTGATAACCAACATTAACTAACTTCTTTTGAATCATAATAGTTGAGCTAAACAAGCAGAACAAACAATGGATGACACATAAGGAACAATTCACTGGAAAACAAAAGTKATTTCTAACATTTTAATACTTAAARATGGCTGAAACATTTCAATRCAGTTCTTCASTGTAAACATGACATTAGTTGGTGGTAAATAAYACATCAAATATGGCCACTCTAGCCTCCCTAACRCCAATAAAACAAAGTTAACTAGCTATTAGTATTTTACCTTTGAGGTGTGGTACCAGTGACAGATACTAACAGGTCACTTAAAGTTAGAAACACACCCCTTAAAGCCAGCAAYTGATTTGCTTCATCAGACAATGGACTTTGGTAGAGAATGTCCTAAAAACATACATGTTCTGAGTGTAAGTATGTTTATAAACCATACCATACCATACACCCTTATTTATGGAAATATACAGTAGTTACACTTTGGATTAGTGACATGGGCTTAAATGTTCACATGCATCCAAGAGACTTGAAATTATTATTTTAGTTTTTTTTTGTTTTTTTTGACAAATGATTTTTTATTGAAAGGTGTTTTCTGGTTGGTTCAAAGTCAAAGATGGCAATTTTTTCTGTATGTGACAAAATCTCTCCAATGTTCTTGCATGCATATAGGCCTTTAATAATAAAAGCAATATTTATTTTAAAGAAAATTCTTGCTTTCTGATTGATTAACTTGCAGGAAACTTTYCTGGGTCAAATATAGAAATGTCTATTAACCTTATTAGGTTCATCATCTTCACTGCTTGTCATGCTAAGGTAGAATACAGCATGTGGCAATCCTCTTAAATCAGTTTTCATAGTACTACTTGGAGGACCACTAATCAGTTTAATTAAGTGACTGTCATCATGAGATGGTTGACTTGAGGAATTGGCTGGTTTAGGTGGATGCTGAGATCTTTGGATSGTAAGGATGATCTGAAAATAGAATAGACTTTTTTCACTTATATTCATTATTTACATATTCTATCAATAATCTATSTCACCAAATGCATCATCAGCCGCTATCATTCTCATACATGGTTACTATCTCATCATTGAAATAATTATCATTGTGATACATTATTTAATTACCTCCATGGGTCCTGTAATGGCTGCCAATATGGTATGAACATTACTGGAGTTAAGATCCAACTTATTAAGTGATAGAATAATATCACCTGTAGCAAAATAAACATATGAGAATGTTAAAATCATGATAAAACAATATCTCTGAATGAAATGCATTATTGCAGGAAATTGCTCAAATATCACTTAGATGCAGATCAAGCATTGTGCAATCATTGCAGAAAACCAAGAAGTCGATTTGTGTTGCTCATTTGTTAGACTGGTCCAAACATGTAATCTTATCCAAAAGTATTTTTGGAAAAGATATTGTGCTTAAAAGCCAACAGGACAATTTGACTTTTGAGTCAGTAAAGAGCTTTTGCTCTGTTGTGCAACTGTAACTGCTATGTCATTCTAAGCTGTGTCCCAATTTATAGAGCTGTTCATATGTGAAATGTGGTTCAATAAGATGAAAGTACAATGTTTAATGCAGATTTCGTATGACTGTGCAACAGCACAGATCACAACACGGACACGGCACGGCACGATCACGAAACCTCGCCTTCTAGGATTCCAAACAGAAATACGGTATGGACACAGCTCAAAAGTACCCTGTTTTTTTTGCACAGTCATACGAAATCCACTCTATTTAAATTTTATACATGTAGTAGTCTCTCACAAACAACAGAATTTTCCACAAATTAWGAAGAAATTTCCATACCTATTCTAAGTTGTCCACATTTTAACGCAGCTCCATCAGGTACAAAKCCTTTTATATAAATCCTACACCCTGARTAACTATCATTCTGAGAAAGCCTTCCTGTTTTATCACGTCCAGGAATGATCCCAAGTAGAGTTTCCAGGTCTTGATGGCGTCCTGTTCCAAGTTTCGGTGGTGTAACAATAACATGGATGTCTTTTTTGATACTTCGACTTGTTCTAGCCTTGTCATGTCCTTTTGKCATTTCATTCCCATCCACTGTTGAACTATTTTTCAAGTTTTTCTCATCTGTCTTTTTCTCATTATTTTTCTCTCTTTTCAAATTTGGTAGAATTTTCTTTACATTATTCAGTTTCTTAAAAACATCTTTGTTCTTCTCCTTYCCAGAGTTTCCAGTGATTTGAAGACTGTCAATGTCATTGAGGGGGGGAGGGGAGGGATCTCTTAGTGGCTCAATGTAGAATAAGTCTCCTTTCTCATTTACCTGTCCAGCCCATGGYGGTTCCTCGTATCTGGAGATAAAAGCATTTTATGTTATAAAACAAATAGTAGTATCATAACAGAAAAGCTATAACAATGACAATCAAGCAACCATGATTTTCAACTAAATTTGATTGAGATTATAGACGCCTGACTTTCTTTAGATATAAATAAATTATAATCATATCTAGAGTGTCTGAATTTAATTAATCCAGCCACTGTTGGCTCACTGAACAGAAAAGACTTTCCTCTCTTTAGTGAGTTAGAAGTCAGTGCATTTTTTTGATAGATGATGCTGTATTCGCACAAATTACATGGTTTTAGAATCAAAATTCAGTCTTTCTTAACTTAGCTTTATACATAGCACATAGCATATCCCTGAGAAAAACGGCAGAGTGTCAAGGTTAATACAATACTACAATACA